CGTAAAAGAGGTTTAGCAGAGTCTCGCTTTCTTTTCCGTAAAACTAAACGTGCAGCATTGTTTTGGACAGTTTGAAGTCTTTTAACTTTCTGTTATATTAGCCCTATCCGTACCCCCTGGGGTCATTGTACCCCCAGGGTTGTATTCTTCACATTCTAGAATACTTCTAGTGCGAAGATCTCTTTGACAATGTCAGTATTTCTCGAAAAAATCATTTGACAGACTGCTCTGCAAAGCGTATGGATCGCATTAGCGAGTAAATATATTCTTTGGAAAGTGGTGGCACAGAGTTCCCCGCGTCTTATGGATACGATACACGGCTCACTGAAATTATCAGGCCTCCTCAGCGGGACCGTAGTCTGAAAATGTGAAGGCGAGTTTAAAACGAGGTCACAACGTGGGAGTCACATGAAACAGCCGAATGTCATCCCATTCCTATAAATAGTACAGCACTAAGTTTTAACACATTCCCTGCAAAAATAAAGAATTATCCTTCCTCTAATACCAGTTAGCTTTCAAAGTGCACTTTACATTTTTCCATTTATGAAAATGTTCTTCATTTTAATTACAATTGTTTTTTCTTTACTTGAAAAACATTTCTGAAATGTAAAATAGGTCAGGGGAGGTGAGAAGAACAGCGACGGAAGTAAACAAAGTTTTCAAAATGTCAGCCGCCTTGCCTTGCGATGTGAAACGTGTGACATGAGGATCATCATCATCATCCAGTGCCAGATCTGCGACAGACATCGGCGATCATGATTTTCCGTTCATTCCTTTGCTCGGATGCTCTCAGAAAAGCTACGTTTCCCTGATCTTTCTTTCCCTGTTACCCATTTGTTTAGGTTCCCTAAGTATGTTGTTCTGGGCCTACCCCTGCCTCGCTTGCATGTATTTCATTTGGATGATCAATGTCAGTGTTTTCTAATGGAATACATTGTTTAAACTTGTTAAAAATGTGCAGAAAATGTTGTGTTGCTGGGTGCAGGTCAAATTATGACTCTACTGACAAGGTTACCGTTTTAGACAAGCCTACCTAAAGATAAAGATAAGAGAACGTGGGATGAAAGCAATCCCAATACTGTTGTTTGTATCAAACATTTTCCAGATGGATTTGAAACTATTGCCGTCAAAGGAAGATTAAGACCATAAAACCCTCTATCGTTATTTTCTAATTTGCCCTCAAGTTTAATCCCAACACCAGTGCCCTTAGCAAGAACAACATATAGATCTAGATCTAGATCTAGATCTAAATCTAGATTCTAGATCTAGACATGTAGATCTAGAATCTAGATGTAGATGTAGATTTATAGATCTAGATCTAGATTTTCCAAATTCTAGATCTAGATTCTAGTTATTCAGTCAAATCAGTTGAAAGTGACCAGTTAGAAGAGAATTCAGTCAAAACAAAAGTCAAGTGCAGTCTAGTGTACATTGCTGGCTATGTCATAAGAAAAGACAAAAAACCTAAAGGAGGATAGTTTTTGTTACTTTGAAAAGTATGTGGAGTTTACATCTTCTTTGAGTAGAGGAGGCCTAGATCTAGCTCAAGCTGTGGACTCAGCATGTCAGTGGACCATCTTTTGCTAAATAGCCTTTCAGTCAGTGCGTGACAAGGTATGCAGAAACTCTTCCAGTGAAATATTTATGGGCATCTCACAGTATTATAGTTTTGAGATGAGACAACACAGGGGGCTCTCGTGGCCTAGAGGTTAAGGTGTTGTCCTCTCATTCAAATTCAAAGGTCCCGGGTTCGAATCCGGGTAGCGACCGAAAATTTTTCTTCTGTAAAATTGTCTCCTTTCACCTCCTTTCCTGCTCTCTAGCAATGTTTTGTTCTCTGCTTTCATTTCCACTTTCTGCCCCCACCCCCTCACTTCCTTTGCCCCCTCCTCTGGGCTCCTGACTCTTTCTGCAGCCTTTCTACTGCTGCTCCTTGGCTCCTCCTTACTGCTGTCTTTCTGCCACACCCCTGATCTTCTGGTAGGAAAGATCTACACCTAGCCTTCTCAGACAAAGGCGAAAAATCTCGGA